TTGGACATCTAAAATTTCTTGCGTTCTTTGTTCTTGCGACTCCGTTGCGTCACTATAGTAAATATAACATATGTTACCAGTAGCGTTACCATGAGTTTACAATGACCGTACTCGCTAGCGACTGCGTAAATGATTTGTATGGAGAACTATACAGCGCTCCTAGCGGTCACTTGGGAAACTAAAGATTGCTAGTATGAGTCCTATAGTAAATTTACCTATCGAAAGTCAATCGCTAGCGACTAACGTTTTTTACGTTTCGTAGCTTATCCCATAGAACATCGGTACCATGAGTTACAAATTTGATAAACGTCATCGAGAAATACCGTAGCGACTGTAGTTAACTCTCTCACTTGCAAAACGTAGCGTGAAAACTTATTACTCTTTTTAGAGTATTGTTTAATAGATTATTTTCAGTTATTATTGACCCAAATAATGTGTACTAGGCATTATCTTGCGTGGAATATGTTATCATAAGCTGCATATGAAGACAAACGACGAGAACAGAGAAAATTTGAAGCGGCTTATGGCTTAATAAGGAGTGTTTTGAACATTGGCGACTCTTCCGTGTGGTCCTTCAGTGGGTTTACTAAGGTCACCATTTCTGTTAAAACATTAAAAAGGGATACGTGATATGGATAACAACGAAAATAAATAAATGAATGTAACCGGGTTAGATCTGATAGCATTGGATTAGGTTGTATATTCTTACTATATTTAAAAAATTTCATAAACTGCGTCTATTTTAAAAGTTTTATGTTTGATAAATAACAAAAAACAATGTATTATATTATTAAAGTCCCGCGTTAAATTTACCTTAACCAAATAAAGAGCACTCAGCATTCCTTAACTTTATCTGAACACTTAAACAAATATTTCATCTAAAAAACTGGAGGACTACATTTTACTGTACAAAGTATATCCTACGTATTAAATAATATAATAGAAACGTATTGAAGTTCATTCCTTTCCATATACTCAACCAATAACTGTATTTGTGATACACTAGTCCGCATTTAATGTTTAGGTATTATACACAATTTACCAAAACAACCGCCAGTTAAGAAACAGAAATACACAATGATTTGTCTCAACACGGAAATAACCGAATAAATTCAATAATCAGTTACACTTCACGTTATGAGACTGATCAATGACGCTTAAAATTAGTAGGGTTTTATCTACATTTAAATTTGAAGATCTAAATAGCCAGTTTTTTTGCCCAAAGTCATCCTTTCTCACTCTATTCAGCATAAATAGAACGAGACAATTTCATTTGGAGTGAAGTTAGGCGCAATACATGGTCACGTAACAAAAACTATTCGAATGTTCGAGTTAACGTTAGCGAGTATAGTAAATGTAAATGTGACTCATGGTACAACTTCTATCGAATACTATTCGAAGTGCGTTTATTCGCTATCGACTGCGGTAAAGTAATGAGAATTTACGATAGCAACTCATGGTAGCGCTACAGCGTATGATGGCGCTTCCCACGGGTAAAAGATTATTCGTATTCCAAATTTTATCAAAATCCGTTCAGTAGTTTTTACATGAGAGTAACCAACATCCATCCTTACAAACTTTCACATTTATATTATTTAATTTAATTTAATAATATAATTTTATAATATGATTGTACCTCGATAAATATATTTCTTTTTCCTCTAATATAGCCAATTTTACATAGTTTTAAGAACTATAGTACCAAAATATATATCTTAAAAGTTTTACAATAATATCAATCGTGTTTTATAATTATTTCCATATATATTGTCAAGTTGACATTTTACAATTATAATTAAATAGTTTTTTTAACATAAGTTTAATTTTGCATCCACGGGAAGTGTGACTACTGTCCAAGATAACTACCACGGTAACTATAATAAGCTTTTAATGAGTCGATTGACGAATGAATTATTATGCTTTTTTTTGTCTGTTATATATTTTTTATTGTTTTGGTGGAAAGTGATATTTTGGTCCAATGAAGTCATTTTTTATTTTTCAGTACGAAATTAAACAGGGTGCAAAAGCAGCCCTTGCAGTTTCTTACCGGTTCCTTTCTTACAGTTTCTTCTTTTCTCGGTACAAGGTTTCCCGTAATAGATTGCTGAACTATAAGCACAGAGTTTCGACTTTCTTATATGCTTGTAACCAGTAAGCCAACTTGTCTATAAATTTATTCAATAAATTGTTTTGACTGAATAAATTTCGCTTCCTCCTCATTAAGTGAGATACCGTGCGTACTGTGTCACAATTTTAGTTCAGAACATCTTGTTTAGTAGTAAACATAGAAAACTTGAAACACCTACATAATCTTTGTATTATATTATTGGTAAAAGAACATAAAAATACTGTAAACTTTGATGAATAAACAAGAGAAAATAAAGAAAACAAAGTTGGTGATGAATAAGTAACAATTGGCATAACAGTAACATTATTAAAGAAGTAACAATTGGCATTTTATTTAAAAATTTGGTTAGCAAGAAGAAAACAGCCGATTAATCAATAGGCAAGCATACAAATATTTTCTCAGCACTAAAACAGTCTGCAATTCATGTTCTGTGAACAATCATGATAACGGTCAGCAATTTAAATTCAAAAAGGTAGCGTATTTTATGATGCATCAGCAAAATAAACATCCACGCCGCAAAATAATTATTTGGGTATTAAGATTATACTATTGAACAGCAAAGAAAACCTTTAACTATGCCTTTAATTTGATAAGTGTGCATATTTTAATTTTTATTAAAATTATTTAACTCATTTTATTGTATATTTTACTGGGAGTATATTATGATCAGAATTTTATATTTTAATATTATTATATATTGCATTCTGATTTTTTTCAATTAAAATAGTCGTCATATGACCGCAAGACTAAAAATAAGGTACATTTATAGAATAACAAAATGACTATATAAAAAACTAAATAAATCAGTGAAATCAAATGAAAATTAACTAAGTGAAATAGACATTTTTTTAAATAAGTTTAAAGCAATTGTCAAAAATTCTTACCAGAGTATTTGATTGGCAATGCATCATCTCGTAATTTTATTATATTTAAAGTTCGATTCAAACAACTTTCCCTAAAATGAAGTGAGCAGATAAAAGTAACTTTTTCATTACATTTAATATTTTCTGCTTCTATGTAACTCGGCCATTTTCCTCTTTTGTTTCATCTTTTGGTAATCTAAAATAATTAATATATTTTTAAATATTAAAATTATCGATATAAACCATATGTTAAAGTAACGACACTAGCCATGTAAACAATATTATTTACGGACCGAAATATTATAAAAATATAAACGAAAAGAGCAATATAGCATAAATAGAACACGCCAAAATACGATATGTATCGATTTATACACGCAATCATTTTCAGAATAACTTACTTACGTTTTAAATACTGTTATTCCAAGAAAGTGTTTAACTTACCGGTGAAACGTAATATTGCTCGGTTTGCGGGATATTGATGACGCACAACCAATTATACAGCACCTAGGCATTGTTTTGCATAAATAATTTACAATTTTCTGCCATGAAAGTTATATAAATTAAAGTTATAAATGAAAATAACCACAAAATTTATAACACTGACAGCTGAACTACTTCCGAGAATACGCAAAGCAAATTTGCAAATGGCTGACAGGTGGTACGATAGCTATATCTCATGACGTCACGTAAAAAATTTTGAACTGTCACACTAGTGTTATCTTTGTTTACTAAAGAAACTTCTTATTAGTTAATAAAAGACAACATGATGTTTTTGATGTCAACTTCAGATTGCATGATATTTATATAACCATAGAAAATATTTCCACTCTACCTTACTCTATGGCTTTGCCCTGTGATTCTGTAAATTCACGTCATTTAGTGAAGAATTTTATTGATTCCATTTTTTTGTATAAAAATACAAAACAAAATTGATTGATTATACGTATCTCAGACATTCTATTCCTATGTCATTTCAAAACTCACTTCACTTATGCTACGAAACGTTATTATCAATTCAAGTTTGAGTAGATGCTGCCTCAGACCAAATAAAAAGTAAAATCGGAGTTCGCTGAATAATGCGCCGATTACACTACCCAATCTATCGGGCCCGATATATCGGCCTCGATTTAGGGCGGTTGGCGTCGTTGTGATTACACTGCACTAGATCGCCTCCCTAACTCAATTGGCATGCAAACGTGGCGTTGAAAGGATGGCTCCTCCGCCTACAAAGTTCCAAAAAATTGGCATAGCCCATACTTTAACTGCGGGCGTAAATAATAAAACAAAATGTTGGGTGAAAAATATTTGCTTCTAAGACACCAACTATGCAGTTTGAACTACTACAGAATGAGTTCTGCACAATTTGATCATATATTAAACTTAGTCATACCTTATATAGCGCAAAACAGCGGTTAGCTGTGCTGTACCTTAAAATTTTTAGCAACGGGAAATATTATTGTTCTTGTTACTAAAGCTGTTATTTTTTTCGTTATTTAATTGTTTATTATTTAACAGTGAATGGTAACGTTCAGCATTGTAATTGCGTAAGTCAATCAACTCTGTGGCAGACCTAATATGCTCATCAATCTGAGACTGTGCAACTAAATATTTATTTTGTATTAATTCTATTGAGTCGTGTAATTTTTTTATTTCTGATTGCAATTTTTTTGTATCCCGGTCATACATCTGCCGACTTTCACTTAATTTATCGCTATATATTTCCAAAGAATCCATTAGACTACTGCGTTGTTTCCTTAAGGCAATATTTTTATAAAAACAATTATTTTTCTTTATTAATCTCTCAGTTTTCTGGATAACTTTTCCAATTTTAAATTAATCTGATTACACCATGATCCGCTATGGGTTGCTGAACCATCGAAGTAATGTAAGTAGGTACTATACTAACGTTTTAAACTATTCCTATTGCTAATGTTTTAAGAAATAATCGATGGTTAATCGTCGATTAGGAAATCATAATCGACAGCAACTGATTATTTCAAAAATCGATTAATGATAATCGATTCCGCACATCATTATAAAATATACAAAAAATACTCTAGTTTTTGCATTGAGCAAAATCAAAATAGAAATCAGATAGAGTTTTTTATTATTGTATTACAATCGAGTTATTTGTTTTATTACAATTTTAGAACTATCAGTGAAAATAATTTATATATATTGTTCAAAGTTTAAAAAGTACGATATGCATAAGCTGTACATCTATTCAATTCACAATATCATAGTCTTATTAGCACTTGTTAAGGCTTCCGATGAAGTCAGTGATAAATTCCAAGCTGTAGACTGTAGCACTCTTAGATTAGGACAGTTCATCTGCCCCGACCCAAGTATAAATCCTATTGACCCTGAAACACAACAGTATCGTGGATGCATGAAAGGCGAAATAAATCCTTCTGAAGGAGAAGCAGAAGGTTACGTACCGAATTTGAACACGCCTTACTGTTGTTGTTTAATCCACGACGTCAATGTTAATTTCGCAATTTTATTCTCATTTTAGTGCAATGCATTGCTGCTGATGGTATAATATGCAAAGAATCCAATAGTTCTATCTTCAAAAAGAAACTCCCATGTAAATGGACGTAAGTAAACAAAACACCTATCCTTTACAAAATAAAACTTGCCTTTAAAAATTTTTAGTTAAATGTAATTCAATATATTCCATTATTTACATATTAGTATTGTTCAATTAGATCTGTATTCTGTATAGTATTGACTATAATTTTACATTTCACAGAAATGGTTACTCACTGGAAATTGCATTGCTGCTATCTGTGTTTTTGGGAATGTTTGGCTTGGACAGGTTTTACCTGGGTTACCCAGGTATTGGTCTAGCTAAGTTGTGTACTTTAGGATTCATGTTCATTGGCCAGCTATTGGACATCATATTGATCGCTGCACAGGTATGGTTTTATGGTTGTTTACTTTGTTGGTTGTTGTGTAATAGCATAACAAGTTATTAAGTGAAAACTAATAAATTATGAGATTAGAATGTTTACTAAGTTTAGAGTTAACTTGTTATATTAAGTATGTAGAAGTACAAATATTAGAAAGATTTAACATTAAAATAAAAACTTCTTTAGATTAATCCAGAGAGTGATAAAACAGAATTGGCACCTTTTATCTTAATATGTAAAGTACAATATAGGAAATTTTATATGTTACCACAATCTGTTTGGCAATAAAGATTAAATATATTAATAAATAATTTTCATACCCTCTCTACAAACCTATTAACAATAGTTTGTATATACTTTTTTCAGGTGGTAGGACCATCTGATGGTTCCGCTTATGTTGTACCTTATTATGGTGCTGGTGTTACTGTTGTAAGAAGTGATAATGAGACATATTTGCTACCACAAGCAGACTGGCACAACATCACTTGACAGTGGGGGACTATTTCATTTGACGTGGACGAAGATTATGAATGGACATAATGTGATTATGTTTATTACCAAAAAGAATGTGTGTTCTCTAAAACTGTTGTGTATAAAATATGTTTATAATGTTTACTTACTATGCTAGTTTAATTAATTAAGTCATAGGTGTAAACATCCCATATACTTAGTTAACAAATGACATAAGGCTGAAAATATTACAATTATATCTATAAATATCTATTTATTTTGTCTTATCATTTCTAATAATATCCAATGTTAATGAGATGCTCAACATGGTCATTAATAAATTAACAATACACATACATTGTCATATGTATTTTAACAAATATTTAGTTCTACCTAACAAATTTTCTAGGTGTTTACTTTGGTAGTTTCTTCTTGTTTAGCTGGTTGAGTTTCCTGAACAGCAATATCAGATGATGGTGCAGAAAGGGTAAATATGACAGGTATTTCGGATAAAAGAGGATTGCCATATTTCTCCAATAATCTTATCCATGACAAAAGGGAATCTCTTGATGAGGTGCCTGAAATTAAATGATTTTTTTCTTACTGTTGTCAATGTAAAATAAGTGTGAGATTACTATTCATGTGAGAAATAAATTCTTAAAAATTATCAAAGTGTTTAAAAGACAATACCTGTAGCACATACTGCTACTATTGTGCCATCATCTTGTTCATGCACACTGCACTTTACTGAAGGTATTTTTGTACTTCCTATAAAACCAGGTATGCCAAGTGGTTTTTGAAGATCGGAAACATCTGGAAGGAAAATAAATTTCTCATTTATGTATATTTATGAATAAAGAAAGGGTTAGTAACACATATCACTGTAATTGACTCTTACCATCAATATCCTTATCATCTTTAGGTTCAGGTCTTGTTTTACCAATGAGGGTAAAATAGGTAACAACTTGATCTTTCATATATACACTGAATGGTCCCTTTACAACAAGTGCTATATCTGAAGGTTGTTCAGCAAGTAAGACTTTCTGGACTTCACTTTGTGCACTGACTACCCAGGTCTTATCTAAAGATGCTTCAATTTCTTCTGTCTGACAAAATTTCAAAGTTATTGGAAGCTATTTATATTAAAGGATGTAAATTATAAATATGTTATTGATAAATTAAACTTTTCAACAAGGCAATGTTTGTATCAAATGTCATCATTTTTATGTAAAATCTACCATTTTTTTGTCAATAACACAAAATTATCTTGAATTTGTTTTGAAATTGAAGAGTAGTGATAAACTTCACCTGCCAGACATCAAGTTTTACTTCAGGATCCACCGAGGTAATTCTTTGAATAGCCATTTTTGCTAATTCTAAAGTATCTTCAGGCAATTTTTCAGGCAATAACCATGGACTCAGATTCTTAAACTTAGGCATCCAGTACATCATCCTCCAAAACTTTCTAAGAGGAATACCTCTACGGCCAAAAATGTTCAATAGCATTTGTTCCATTTCACTATCAGGCATCACTCCTATAAGTCATAAATTCTAAGTTAATTAAACAAAATCTATGAAATATACTAGACAAAGCAATTTATATTTTTAATTTACCATTATCTTCCATCTGCTCTAATAAATCAACTGCACATTGTTGTTGTTTAGGATAATGCATAAATTCAGCTTGAAATATATTTGTCGGAATAAATCTTCCCTTAGGCAATACGTCTACCAGTGCCTTGTAAGCTTCTAGATCTTTATGTACACCAAATTCTTTCATTCGGGCAAGAGCAGCATAAATAAATTCAACATGACCTCTTCTTCTTGTATCTCGAGTTTCAAATATTTTAATAGCTTCTAAATAAGTTTTCTTGTCTTTCTGTGGTTTATTCACAAACGGATCATAAAGAGTTACATTTTTTTCATTACTTTCAAATCGTTTTATAGTAATAATAGATGGTCTAGCTCTTAAAAAAGTTTTTAAAATTCTAGCAGCCATAGAGGTTATACTTATAGTTGAAAATTAAGCTAATTAGGTATAGGTATCCTAATAATTTTATGAATCTATCTTGTCATGAAACAAGTTCTATAATATATTAAAACTTCGTAAAACTGCACATTTCACCATTTATTAAAGCTTAGCAATATATGGTAGAAGACGGTATGACATGACAGATAATACAGTTTTCAATAATTTTTTACTTTAAGGCAAAGGAATGTTTAGCAAAGTCTAAATTCGACAAATCTTTGTGAAAAAAGAACGATGTAATAATGATGTAAAAGAATGAAAGTATATAAAACTTAATAAACAACTCATAATTTATTTGTACTTTTTCATATTTGTATTGATATCGAAGTTTCAAACTTTGCAAATTTCAGTTTTTTAATATGTTAGTTAAAAGGCAAGGAAATGACTATCTTTGGTCCATTCGTTTACTGCAAAAATATTTTTTTGCTAGAATCGCCATCTAGTGGAGGTTCTTTTTTGGTGCTTTCGTTTCTTTTTAAATTTTTCCTCATTGGTCCATTCGTTACAAAGCATGTTTCAAAATTATTTTTATTCGATAGTTTAATGGTCTGTGGTGGTTTTATTAATTTGATCCAAATAGAATCAGTAGTTTTATTTTTATAACAAAATAAAATATGCTTTTCATCAGTTATATAAAATTCACAAAAAAATTTAATAGATGTCATGTTTATATCAGCGAAAAAACAAAAGATACCTAGCATATTTCTAATTTATTCAAATTCACAAAGAATGAATTTCTATTTTCAAAGAGTATGTATGTTTTTGTAAGTATATACATACGTAAGGTATTATAATCTAAATAGGTATTCTCATTGATTACTTCTTGAATTGTACCGGTTCTTTTCGGTACAAGGTCTCCCGCCGTAGACTTACGAACCGATGGCGTAGCTCTCGGCTTTCACAAGTGCTTGTAACAGTCTAGACTAAATAAATAGTTTTCATTTGAACCAATTTCTATCAAATTAGCTGTGTCCCCGTTCAAGCAATCAAATCTTTCCTTTAGCTATCATTCAATTAATAACCTACAGATATCTAACTGAAGTCGGTTCTATTTTTTTACTTAAACCGAAACACGTCGCTCTCCGGGAGATTAGACATGGACTTGAGTCGATTCACACACGTTGAGGACACGGTTACGGTTATACCCAGGAAGTCTAGACGAGAAATTTAATTTTGAAAGTACCTAAGTCGTCGTTAAATTACTTATTAAGCTCTATTTTGCCTCGATATATATAAAAAAAAAATATTTTAAAATATTTTTGTAAGACAATTTTCAGTTTTGAATTTTTACGTGAGATTAATGACAAATATGTTTCAAAATATGTATTATTGATTCAGAGAACTTCTTTATTTAATCGTTAGTGAACACGGCAATTTTTGTCGAGTTTTTTGAGTGAGGCAACTCAAGAAGCCAGAACATGGCATTTTAGAATAATATGATGACAACCCTGGATTGGTCTGGCCGAATCAGCAATCAGTTCAGTTCAGTTTAACTTGTTATGAGAAGAGGAGTTATCGTTTGTGTCTAAAACTTTATTTGCGTATTCGATTACGACACGTAAAAAATTTTTCCTTTCGATTTTAAATTAAAATATAAATGTGACTGCCAATTGCGGATGTATAACCAATAAAACTGTTTAGTGGAAGTGTAATAAGTGTATCAAAATGCTTAAACTTTTGATTTGTGGATTTATTGTATTTCTTCTCACGAACATAACTGGTAAGTGAAAACCAAGTTAATAATTTTAGAATGAGGTTGAAGCTGTAAATCATTTGTCTTTATAAATACTGATAGGTAGCTACCTAATATAATACAACGAAAAATATATCCACTGACTATGGAAAATACTTTGAAATTATTTTGATTTTTTAGTATAAAATTAACCTTTAACTATTGAATTATATGTACATAAATGACCCCAAAATAACTATAGTGCTCTACATTGAGATACCTATATCCATTTCAAAATTAATGTTTCTGTTTTTATTAACAAAAATATGTTACTTATTTGTTATATTATGATATTTCAATATGTATTTATATTTATTACCTTTCGACGACATCCGAAATACTTATTCCATAATAATTATACATAAACATAAACCATTTATTTCTGCTAAAAAAAGGCCAACTGTTACAATTTAATATTAAAAAGCGGGTAGATAGAAGCCTTTTTCTTACTCTTCCGCGAGTATAGGCACGCGATTAAAACTTTAAACTTCCAAACTATAAAAAACTTCCAGTGTCAAACTGCAGTGACTATGACTCATTAAACAAACTAAGGCTACGCGCGCTGTTGATTTTTGTTGTCGTGATTTATATATCTATAGTGACGTGAGTGACAAAATGTTACCAGTGCGCGCGTTAAATGAACTGAAAATCAGCCATATTTTATTTATGTTAAAGTAAAGAAAATATATAAAAGCAGTCTGTTTTATACATCAACGCATAGCCAAAACTTTTTAGAAACACTTAAGGGGTAAAATAGGTATTAAAGTATATATGGAGATAAGTTATAGGTATACTGATGGTAGCTTGTTGTAAACTATGAAACTTTAGGGAAAAGAGAGATATTTTTTTTATATTTTCACGCGCAGTATATTTAATGTAGTATATGTTTTGAAACAAGCTTTAATGTCCATGTTTTATTCATTATATAAGTATTTTACTCAATTTTCTACTTAAAATAAGTAACTTACTTAAATTAGTTATATAATGCTAAATATCACGAGTTTCAATTTTTATATAGGTAAACCTATATAAAATGTCTCCGCTTCTGTCTGTTTCAATAAGATGTAATCATACTTTTGATTATTTCAATTAAATATTACTTTGGATTGATATTTTCTTAAAATATTACTTTTTTATTGGGTGAAATATAAATGATTCTTGGATAATATGGATGAATATATTTTATTGTATTTTCAAACATTTCCATCAAGCACATGATGGAAATAAAAACAAAAGGGCTGCATCATTGCTATAATAATTTCTACCAGGCAACCCTAGGATAAAGGAAAATATACCAATTGAGGAAAATAGCTGTGTGTTAGAACATTAGAAAAATCCTAATGCCTCAGAATTAACTACAACGAAATTGCTTCTTGAGTAGTTCCCTGTGTGCTATATTCCTAATGTATTATACATATTATATTGATTTACTTAATTGGGGATTAAATAAGTATATTTTAATAGTAATATATTTAACAGAATGTGGTATCACATTTTGAATAATGTCATTATCTGTCTTCATTGTGAGATAGAGGCTTTCACAATGATAAAATAATATAAAAGTGACCATGAGTAAAGATCCTCGATGTAATAAATTATCGGATCACCCATCCTCAGCATTCACACCGATCTCGTTAACCACTTCGCTTTCGCGCCTCAGATAAATAGATACCAAAATATTATTTAAACTCTATTACAATTCGCTCTTGACAGTTATATTTACAGGTTGTTTTTAGCTTGAGGCGTGGCGTCTTTGGGCGTTTATCCAAGCGCCCACAAGTTGCTTTTCTCACGGATAATAAGTCACGCAATAACAAATCTAGGTGAAATATATATGTATGTAAACATCTCACAGGAAAAAACAAAAGTGAAGATAGACTATTTACTGAATTGTGATTATTTTTTCGTGTAGTCGACCTACAACTCTACAGGTAATGCTAACGCAAAATGACTATTTAATTGTTGTAGGGGACTTTTTAAATAACTTTAGTGTCGAATGCTCTATTTAGATTGTATGTCGCTATGATAAAAGAAAACTGAAGAAGCTCGTTACGCTTCAGATATTTACTAAATTGTGTTTTTAGGTTTCGTGTAGACGACTCCCACCTCTATATTAATATTTAACTATAATCTAAGGAATCTAACGTAAAATACGATTATATTATAGGTAAAATAAAACCCTAATAGTTGCCGACATTTATTTAATATATAATTATGTTGAGTACTATTATGTTAATAGAAAACTGATTTCGTATATAAAATATGGATTGAGAAATGTGTAAGAGATATATTACAACCCAAAGATAAATTACAAGCCAGATTAAAAATATTGGGGATATTCGAATTCAGTGTATTGGTTTTAACTAGTTCATATTAAGTAAGTATAATAAGGTAAAATACAGAGTATTTGCCTTTTTAATGAAAATCTTAATTTGTTTCGATTCTATTTATAATAATAAGGGCTTTAAATTAACACAGCTATTTATATCAGATTGGTCGTTTATTATATTTTCATAAGAGATCAACAAAATATATTCAATGCCTACTAAACGAAATATAACTTATTCGAAGTTTAATTTATCACAACGATTAACGTTTTTAGACATGTTATTAATAAATATTTTTACAGTAAGTAGAATAAGAATATTTTAATAATGAAATAACCCACAATATTAATCAAATATAATAAATAATAAATAGTTTTTGAAATCACATACGGATAATTAAAACTTTTGTAATATACATAGAACGGTTTTCTACTTTTTTGTTACTTTTTTTTTCTTTAAGTCGAATTTGCTTATATTTTGGTATGGTAAAATCCCTTGAATAAATAAAGTGCATTCATTCTGTGTCAAGTATTTCCACAACGCGCGACTCGTTCCGACGGCATTCAATTATGAACCTATTTGATTCAATAGTCCCGTGATGAATATCGATGATGACCCATTTAATTCAATACTTATTAACAGCAACGTTTCATTTGGTAGTTGTTTTTAATTAATTTAGTCGACCTCTGTGGTCTAGTGGCTCACATGTCCCGAGTTCGTTATATCTTTTGCTATACTGGTTTATATGGATCTAAAGTCACTGCAATCTTCTTAGTTTGATTGAATTTTCTTGACATCTTAGGCTATTGTTATTTGTCATCAAAATTCAAACAGCTTGTGCAGCCTTCAAAAAGCTTATGATATTGCTTGCTTTTGATCTGCTGTGAACTTATTGTTTAAATTTATAGTGCATCGTAATCCCTTTTAAAAATATATAGTGATATATGGAATTATGTAACTTTTAAAAAAGCAATCGCTTTTAGAAAGAATGACATTTCTAAATAGCTTTCACAGATTTTTAGCTTTGCATAGTTAAATTAACGGAATCGTCATTTCAAAGACCGTCGCGATTACAATAAAAAATGACAAATATTTGTAGTGTAAAGTTTATGAATATCTTTAGTAGAGGTGCAGGCGGAATCAACGGCTTAACTAATTATTATTTTTAAATTTCCTATTTTAATGAGTATCATGAATAAGACCTAATGTACGTATTTCCATTTTGTTACTATAGTATTATAATAAGCCCTTAAGACGATAGATAGATAGTGCGTCTTACATATTCCGCGTCTGCAAAATTGTATAAAAACGTTGATACAGTTGTATATTATTGCATTATGTCAACTTAACGTTTATGAATAGATATACAATAAAATAGGCTATAAAATAGTATGTACTTACCATTTTGATAAGAATATATTCAGAAGTTGCGTCAGTATCAGTTTTTTTGCCATTATAGTTTGAGCTCTATTGTGTCCGAGTGGTAATGCTCGAGTGAGCCGATAATATTAACGCTTTTTTTTTAAATAATTATTGGAATATATCTTGATCATTATAGTGTGTAAGTGTTCTAGTTTATAATACACGTTTTTCATAGGCTTTGCGCAATTGTGGTCTAATTGTGTAATTTTAAAATCTATCACAATCGGTTCGTATTTGACATTTAAAAGATATTCACGAAATTCAAGTTATAACCATTTGATATGTAATAGCAATTGCGATCGCGATGTTTTTTTGAAGTCACACGAAATTGTCTACGCAAAGTGATAATCTATGTCTTTGTAAGATATTGGGAAATGTCAAACGTAATGAAAAGTCCATGACATTTATATCATTCAAATCATCATTCGTTCCAAAAGTTACACAATTCCATTAATCAGTATCAGAACCGCTATACGTTTGAAAGGGACTGTGGTGGATATTAAAATTACACAATTAGGCCACTGGTTACATCGTTAAGTTTGGAAACTCACAAAAACTGTATATTCTACGTCTTAATTAGGTATTTGCATTGCGAATAGGAATGGCCGTACGGTTTCCATTATGGATCAGCGCACTCAATTATTCATTATGCGATTTTAATTTAGACGCATAGATGATTGAATCGTAAGTCCGATATATACATGACTACTATTGCTATAATCCCATTGGAATAGGAAATACTAAAAGTACATAAAAATTAGGTGTATAATTATTTCAAATAGGTTGAACGGAACTTTAATTAATATAAAATAATCCACCAGTAAGTTTCAGTAACATGCCTAATGACAATTTATATTTTGCATAATCCTTGCCTATTTTCTGGTTATCCTTTTTTACATAAAACAATAATAATATTAGTTGCCTTAAAATAGGGTACAATTTGCATTACCACATATAATTATTTGAGTACTAATCGAATACTTTATGAACATAGTATCTAGTATTAGGTAACTGTAATAGGTGGTAAGGTAGGTGAAAGATTTTTTTTAATAAGAAACCATATTAAGTATTACGTAAGTAGTTTCGGGCCATATTCAATGCTTTTATAATATTAGTACTCTTCTCACTGTACTTACGATGAATTCCAAAATCCATGAATAAGACCAAATCTATAAATAACTCATACAATATACACGATTATTTAGGTAAACGATACTTTTATTGTTATAAAATATCCTG